TACAGATTGGCGTTTGCACGAGGCGCGCCACCCACAGGGCATGGACCAGCGAGCGAGCACGCAGGAGGAAGCGACGAGCCTGAGACAAGCAGCACACACAGCGAGCGAGCGAGGGGCCGGCGCATGCAGATGCAGCAGGCGCGTACGTACGTAGTAGTGTCCGTGCCTGGCGCCGCGTTCAATGCGCGCGCGGCGACACACGGACTTGAGCAGGGGTTGCAACACGCGCCGCGCAGTGGCCTCTCGGGCGGTTGGGCCTCGACACGTACTGTACGCTCTGATGAACCACGTCGGGTCCCGTGCGTGGCGAGTGGCGACCGGCGACCCCGCCGGCGCGGCCGGGCATTAACGCCGGCTGCCCCCCGCGCGTGATCCCGCGTCACGTAGCAGCCGTGGTGGGAGCGCGGAAGCGGAACGAGGGAGACGTAAACATGCAGTGAGTGCGTTTGAGCATGGGTCTACTATATTGCGGCTAATGTCCTTTCTAGGTTTAGTCATCTAAATTTAGTTCTCAATTCTCACCAAAACACTATTACAACTAAATGGGACTAAATGGACTTTAACCGAGTAGTCACCAAATTATGGCTAAAAGGGGCTAACATCATCTCTTAGTCACTTTGGAGCCAAACACAGTCTCTTTTAGTCACCCGAATCAAACATCCTGTGACTAAAGTTTAGGAGGGGGAAACCAAACATATACTAAACTTGTTAGCATGTTTCATGTGAAATCAATCAGGCACAGCGTCTTTTTCATCTGGCCGGACGAGCCTCGATTAATATACAGTTGTCTCTTTTTGGCGTGACAAGAACAGCTTAACAAGGCAAGGCACGTACTCCTGATACGTGGCCGTACACGTACAGACACTCCTCGTGTCATAACCAACAGCATGTTCGCTTAGCCATAAACGATCGTGGATTATAAGTCAGAATAGTATTTTTTTCTTACACAACAATAATAATCCACGATCGTTTCAGCCGAAATGAACAGATACACATCCAGAGCTGCCTTTCTCTGCTTCTTCCAAGCAGCCAGGACACATTCGGCTGGCTGAATTTGGCTGGAAAACACTGTTCCGGCTGAAATGTTGTGAGAGAAAAATATTGTTCTGGCTGAAAAAAAACAAGCTGAATAATACTGTTTTTTTGGGTAAGCCGAACGGGGCCATATCGTCTGTTCGGCTGCTCATATAAACCGGTTTATCAAATATGATATAATATTTTTTTCTTTCAATAAATCAGTAGTACGAATCTGCACGAGCCACTAGCTATCCACGACGAATGATTGATTGCCAACCGTCCAACCGCAAGCATCGCCGGCCATCATCATCATCATCGTCATAGTACACATCCACGTACGTTTGGCCGCGACCTCCACTGGTCGACCTCTACAGCAGCAGCAGCGAGCACGGGCGCGCGCGGCCACAGTCCACAAGGGGCGGGCGCGACACCATGATGCTCCTCCATGATTGGAGCGAGCCAACAAACCCGTCGGTTCCCCCAGCAGCATCGCCGATTGCGCAACACTCCAACCACACGCAGGGCAGGAGACACAACACACCATGCCGTGACCATGATGGCATCGGACAAGAGGGATGGATGGCTGGCCGTAATCATATGCATATACTTATGCGTCTGTGTTTGCCTCCTGCCCAGTGGCGGATGTGGGATGCGGGATAAGGGGGGGCTAAAACAACAGAGATGTTGATTTGCACGAAGATTTAACGGTGAAATCACGTTTTTGCTACAGTAATTAGCATTGAAATCAAGAAATTAGGGGGGGCTGGAGCCCCCCCAGCCCCCCCCCCTTTGGATCCGCCACTGCTCCTGCCGTGGACCCGTGGTCCATCATCTATCCAAGAAACTGTTTTGGCTTGCTGTCTCTCGGCTCAAACCACAACCTATAGTACTCCTGCTAGGCTTTGCTTGTTTATTAAACATGGTTTAGCTAGGGTAGGGCGACATACATGCCCGCCCGCAGAATCATTGTGTGCTCATCAAAGGTGAGAGTGAGCCAGTGAGGTATCATGTCCGAACAACGAGTCGTCATCATGCCGTCTACGACTTGGAGTTTACAAGGATTTCTTGCGAAAAGTTACACAGATTATGACTCCTCATTCGTATGGTGCGTCACGTGCTGTGTTTGGCAGAAGAATATTAGTTTTAGGGAAAACAGAAGGACTGTGTACCTTACACCATGTCACCATGGTCAAAGCTGCCGCTAAACCTGTCCAAGGTCAAAAGCAGGGGCAGAGCTAAAGCAAAATGTGAGAGAGGTGCGCTTGTCTTAGATATGCATAGACTTTTACACTATGGAATACATATAGATATAGGCCTCGTTCGCTTCGCCGAAAAAACAAATCGAAACACTGTTCCGACTGATTTGTTGTGAGAGAAAAATACTATTTCGACTAAAAAAATAAGCTGAAAAAGACGGATTATAAGAGAAGCGAACAGGGTCATACGGTGAAAATATTATCACAATCACTGGTTTATACGTTTTCCCATGGGTCCGCCCACCACTACAGTCTATATATAGATCCACTCTTGGCAAAAATATAAACACTTTAGGATTTTTTTTATAGTGACAAGTAACTTAAATGCAAAGATAGAGGGCCACTTGTCATTTTAAGTAATGGCAAAGGTGGATAATTTAGAAGCAAACTTAGTGGTTTTTCTTTACATTTTTATTTTTACTGCTGCAGGTTATTTATATTAATGATGGATATGGCTAATGTAGATGCAAGATTACATGTTACTTTAGATTATTTTTCCTAATAGAATAGGTGGGTAATTTAGATAAAGATCATGATCACTTTGTACTATTAGTTTCGATAATGTTATCTTACTCTTACCAATTGGAGACCTTAATGGGGCCTTTCGTTGTTTGGATTTACAAGACACTACCAAAAATAAGACAAATCATAAAAAAATCTAATAAAAAAATAATTTTGCTACCGTAAAAAATGACTTAGGATAACTCATTAAGGCCCGTTCGGCTGACAGAATTTTGGCTGAAACTGGCTGAAAAACACTGTTCTGGCCGAATTATTGTAAGAGAAAAACACGATTCCGGCTAAAAAAAGAAGCCCAATAAATCGAATATGGGGTAAGCCGAACGGGCCTTTCTGCGTCAAGTAGACTACCCATGTATGTTATTGAAAGCCTAGTTCATATTATTAGGTAATCCACTACTAGTCAAATCCATTTATAAGAAAATGAACGTGTTTTGAGGGATGGTATAGGTATAGCTGTCTGTCTGCCATCATTTGCTGCACCTAATAAGCTAGTATAAGACACACTTCATTTGGTGCCCAATTAGAAAATCTTAAGAACATTTTTTTTTCTATCGGACGACGATTCATCATGGTTGTTCTTGGGGGGCAATGGCTGATAGAATAGAAAGAAATAGGAGGAATTCCTTATGTTCCATTATAAAAGATCATAATGTCTTGTGTGTCTCTGAAAAAGTTCAGCAGTCTTTACCGTCACTGCTCGAACTTTTTCGTGTCCTCCATGCCACTTTCGTCAGTTTGGAATCTAACGCCGTCAACTGTAGGTGTGAAAAGACGAAAATACCCTTAAGTCTAAATATGTTATTAATTTTTTAAGCATCTTAACGACTTCAAATGAAAAAACTTAAAACTAGAAAGTTGTAGATCTCGTCGAGATCTATAATTTTCATATAAAAATTATTTTCATTTAATTCCGCAAAAAAATATGATTTGACATGATTAATATATCTTAGAAAAATCATATTATTTTTTTACGGAATTAAATAAAAATAATTTTTATATAAAAATTATAGATCTCGACGAGATCTTTAACTTTCTAGTTTTGAGTTTTTTCATTTGAAGTCATTAAGATGCTAAAAAAAATCAATAACATATTTAGACTTAAGGGTATTTTCGTCTTTTTACACATGTAGTTTGACGGCGTTAGAGCATAGAGGACATGAAAAAGTTGGAACAGTGACGCTGAAGACCGCTGAACTTTTTCAGAGACACACATAATATTACGATTTTTTATAATGGCACATCGGGAATTCCCCAAAGAAATAGTAGTGAAAAAAAGGAAGTTCTGCTACACGTTGTTGATGGCAGCACCTGGGACAAAAACAATACGCTCTCCAAGAAAATACGCACATCCGCCGGGGGCGAGCGGTGGCGGTGCGAGCACGGTGGCAGCAGCTTGCATCTGCACCTCCCAGCTTTCTGATAAAGCCCTTTTTAGTTGGGTGTATTTAGATTTTGGGGCTACTGTAACACATTTGTTTTTATTTGTTAAATAGTGTTCAAACATGGACTAATTAGGCTCAAAACGTTCGTCTCGCAATTTTTCATCAAACTGTGCAATTAGTTTTTATTTTCATCTATATTTAATGTTCTATGCACGAGCCACAAACATTCGATATGACAGATAGTGTAGCAACTTTTTGGAAACAAGGCGAAAGATGGTGGGCGGCTACTACGTCGCCCGCCCCGCCCACGGTGATGATTAACATAATTATTAGTGGCTGCTGGATGCTGGCCCATGCGGCTGGCGCTGCCGCTGCGACTGCACTGCAACGCTGTGCAGTGCTGCTGCTGCATGCCATCGCCATCGCCATCGCCATGCCATCCGAAGAAGAGAGCACGGTGCACGGCCACGGCCCACGGAGCGCTCCCATGCGGCCATGCTGCCATCTCCCCTGCGGTTTTTTAATCCTGCCCTCATGATTCGATCCCCCCTGCCTGCTCCCTTTTGCCGGGTCACTCACGTGCGCTCGTCAAACCGCTGTCCCGAAGGGTCAAAACCAAACCAAACCCCGGGTCGTTCCTCGCAGCGCACAGCTTGCTCCGTCACTAAGCTGGCTGAGCTCTCTCTCCCACACCGTTGCCACACTCTCCTCATATCGCAGTGTCTCGCATCGCACACGGGGACGGTGCTGCTCCCGTCGCTGCTCTCCGGCTGCTCCTTGACGGGGCCCGGGCAGGGCGGTGTTGTTTCTTGGTTCTGGTGGGATGGAGCTGGGGCTGAGCCTGGGCGAGGCGGCAGTGCCGGACGCCGCCGGGAGGGCGGCGGCGCCGGAGCTGGGCCTTGGGCTTGGGGTCGGGATTAGAGCTAGCGCCGCCGGAACCGGAAGAGGGGGTGAGGAGGGCGGGAGGGGAAGAAGCAGGGCGGCGGGGACGGGAACGGGAACGGGGTGGTGGGCGGCGCCGGAGCAGGCGGTGCGGCTCAGCCTTGTGTCCAGCAGCCTCGGCCTTCAGTGGCCGCCCTCGGACGGTGGTGAGAGCCGTGTTCTTCTCGTTTCTTCAGACGCTAGCTCCCTCCGCGTTCTGGATTCTTGGTTTCGTCTGTTGGGTGGCACCATGACCGTGGCCGCGCCGGCTGTTCTTGTTTTCCTGCCTGCAGGCATCTGTCATGCAGGGCGTGGCGAGGCGCCGGCGGCGCGCGGGTTCGACGTGAACCGGGCGCCGTCGTCGGTGGCGGCGAGCGGTCTGGCGGCGCTGGAGGATGACGAGGAGGACCCGGGCGCGGCGGCGGCCCTGTCCTCGTCGCCCAACGACGACAGCGCGGGCTCCTTCCCGCTGGACCTGGGTGGCCCACGTGCCCACGCCAAGGGCGGCGCCGCGGCGCAGGCCGGCGGCGGCGGCGAGCGGTCCTCGTCTCGCGCGAGCGATGAGGATGAGGGCGCGTCCACGCGCAAGAAGCTGCGACTCTCCAAGGAGCAGTCCGCGTTCCTGGAGGAGAGCTTCAAGGAGCACAGCACCCTCAACCCTGTAAGAATCCATGGAAACTTGCTCATCGATCTAACCTTTGTACGTACGCTCATGGTCTTGACGCTGAGTGAGACGAACTAACCTTCGTCGCCGGCGGCGTGCAGAAGCAGAAGGCGGCGCTGGCGAAGCAGCTCAACCTCCGGCCGCGACAGGTGGAAGTCTGGTTCCAGAACCGGCGAGCCAGGTGCATGCACAGAAAAAAAAAATCTCTGCTCCTGATATCTTCCCTCCGGCCACGGAGCTGCTCAGCTAACCTTATGTTGTTCTCCGGCCGGCAACGGCAATCGACGCGCGCATGCATGCAGGACGAAGCTGAAGCAGACGGAGGTGGACTGCGAGTACCTGAAGCGCTGCTGCGAGACGCTGACGGAGGAGAACCGGCGGCTGCACAAGGAGCTCGCCGAGCTGCGCGCGCTCAAGACGGCGCCGCCCTTCTTCATGCGCCTCCCGGCCACCACCCTCTCCATGTGCCCGTCCTGCGAGCGCATCGCCTCCGGCCCCAACCCTGCTGCCTCCACCTCGGCACCCGCATCATCATCCACGCCGCCGCCTGCCACCGCCACCGCCACTTCGTACGCCGCACCCGTCGTGCGGGGCGAGCACCGGCCCTCGTCGTTCGCCGCGCTGTTCGCGGCCACCCGCAGCTTCCCGCTGGCGTCCCTGCCGCGGCCGCCGGCGCCGGCCAGCAACTGCTTGTAAATACGCGCGCGCGCCATCCCAGCCTCTCACTCCGTGGGTTGGTTCTCGTGAGAATTTTTGGGGTTTCCGAGGCCGTGCGTCGACGGCTGGGAGGCTGCTGCTGGGACGGCGCCGTTAACCTTGATTTGCTCCCTGTTTACGTTTTCTAAGAACGTGTTCATGTTAAGCACGAATGGTTCATCAGGGTTTAAGCTTGTTTAGGAATGAAGGAATTTGTTTCGTTTTTTTGGCAGCAGCAGCTCAGAAGTAGTAAGTGTTGCCACTATTTATGAAGTGCATTTGCTTTGCTTCGCAGTTCGCGGTTCGTACGAGGGTGCAGATTTGCGAAATTATGGCGCCGCACGCGTTCCCAGGGACGAAAATTTTCAAGAGATTTTACTCGCGTACACCGCCGTGTTGTCAGCCCCTTTATGAGTGCCGTTGCGCGTGTTTAGTTCCCACCTAAGTGCTCAAAAAATGTTAGAGTAGTTATGCTATTGAATCTTGCGATACGTGCATAAACCATTAAACGTAGATGGAAAAAAATTAATTACACAGTTTAGTTGGAAATTGCGAGACGAATGTTTTGAGCCTAATTAGTCTATGATTAAATAATATTTGCCAAATAAAAACAAAGTCTAAATTTCTAACTTTAACCCAACTTAACACGCGTTTACAGTATGTGATTTTCGTGGGCTCAAAATGTCGTTGCTTGTCAGTTGTCACAGCAGTGCGGAATTGGCGCGGCTACTTCCCTCCTATCTCAACCCAAATTTTAAGGACATGGAAAAGGGTTTTATGATATTCCGAATCGGGTTGTATATGAATAATATAGGTTAGAATTTATTAATTAATAAAATCTAACAAATATAGATTATTCATAAATACTATGCTGATTATCCAATATAAATATGAATTTTGAAGATGGAGAGAAGAGGTCTATGCGAATACGGATAATTCGAATTTAGTCGTATATGGATATGGGTTAGAATATAGAATTAGCAAATCTAATAGATATAGATTACTTGCAAATATTATGTGGATTATTTTATATTTAAAATAGAATATTTGATCATTTCTTTTCCTACATAAAAACAAAAGAATTTATGATAAAGAAAAGTCTATTAGTTGAGAGGTCTTAGTTTGTGAAGTGGTTCATTATGTGCTAAACTTTAATTGAGAACTTGTTGTTTGTGATTATTTATTGACTAATAACTTATCATTTTGTAAGTGTGCACCTTGTTAAGTGTTAATTGCATCTGTGTGATAGCCACAACATGGATTGCTTTGTTATGTACTGCTTGCTATTAGTAGCTCTTTACTATATTAATTCTTAACAAGCATTTAATTCTCTATGCATGCACATATCACTAAACTATTACTCCCTCCGGTTCTCTAAAGCAAGTCGTTTTGAACATCGACACGGTCTTTAAGAAACGACTTTAACTGTAACTTTTTGCTATAAAATATTTATAAAATATAGTCAATATATACTTTTATGAAACTACATTTCGAGATGAATCTACTTACATCACTTTTATATTTTCAAACTCAACCCAAAAGAAGTTATTTGTAGTCAAAGTTTAAAATATTTGACTTAAGACAACCTCAAAATGACTTGCTTTAGAGAACCGGAGGGAGTAAAATCCATCTCTGATCCGATTTCGCTCCATCACCATAGCATTTCTGACATTGAAAAAAATATACATCCTGTTGACGGTCGCTAAACCCTAAATCGGTCTATCAGTATCAGTGAAATAAGTGAAGGATATAACATGCTCATGACCTTTTCAATTCAAATAAAGTTCAAATTGCAATATTTGGAAGACTAACCTTTGCAGGAGGCATTGAGCAAAATATGGGCCAAAGCACGCCCACAGAGGGGTCGCCCGACCTAGGCCGTGTCCCATTGGCCACAACCAAACCCAATCAAATAAACACACATCCAGAGATCATCCACTGTTGATTTAAAGTCGGTTCAAGGTCTGTGGTCTAAATGGTTGTTCACATGGATCTATGGACCCACCAACTCAATGTTGGTTCTCCAAATTGTACTAAACTTCATATCCACGTTGAAGACCTCCAGAGGAAACGCCACAACGAAGGGGGAGGCCCAACCTTGAGTGGGCGGTCGGCCGATCCAAGGTGGGGGCGCCCGACCCGCCAAATCCACTCCACTGACTCTCGTGTGAAAACATGAAGCAAGCACAAATCCACGCCATCTGGTGAGCCTATGTAGACCTAAGCAAATTGAGCCAGGATCGGCCTGCCCTGAGCCTGCTGGGTTTTGGCCCGCCCAAGAGCCTTAGTGGGCCGGGCCTAGCCACAAATCTCGCTTCCCAGAAAAATTTTCTCAGCCCGAGTCTGGCTCAAAATATTTATTTTAGCTATTTTACACAATAAAATGTGTGGGCAGCTCACCTAGACCCGGACCCCAGCCCGTGCCCGGCTCAAAAAATCAGGCCCGGCTCGTCCAATGGGACGATCATGTGCGCGTTTCTTTCTGCTCGAAATAACCGGGCTTTTTTTGGCCCAACCTGAACCCGGCCTACAAAATGCTCAGGTCTTAAGTTTGTGGTATGGCGCTTTGATCCTGAGGTTAAGAGGCGGCTTCACTTGGATTTGGGCCCACTGTCACACTCCTCTCCACTCTATAATTAGAGGCTCACTCTTCACTTGTAGTCAAGCAACAACACAACACTTAAGAATGCTCTCTTCTTCATTTATATCATAGTAGTAGTGTAATTGGGAGTTAGAGTGAGTGTGAGCTTGGTCATGTTAGTCTTGAAGGTGAAGCTCTTGTGTCATTTACTAAGTACTTTGAGCAGTTAATAGCCTTGTAACAGATTTGTATCTGAACTCTCTAAAATAAGCAATTGGTAAAAGTCTCCCTAAACTCACAAATACATGATTGCGCTCCGTCTTATCCATTTAGGGACACCTTCACACAGTTTTTCCTCCTCTCACTTGTTTTTTTGTTTTTGTTTTTTTAGCATGCCAACTATTGGAAATTATTGAGAAAGATAAAAATAAAGCTCCGTATTCATTTTATTCACTTAGGATAATCATCGATTTACGAAGTGATTCTTAAGGGCATGTACAGCCTACAGACAGGGGTTTGTCTGCAAGTTCTTGGAATTCACAACACAGACACCTAAACAGACAGCTCATACAATCCATAGACATGGACTGTCTATTTGGCTGTCTACAATTTATTTAATGTTTGCATGTAACTATGATCAATCATGAATATTATTTCTATATAACATTGTGTTGCTAATTGATACAAAATAGATTATTCAATATATGACACATTCAGTCATACAGTAAGCTAGAAAATAGGCATTCAGTCATTCAGTATATGGCGTATTCAGTCATTCAAAACAGACATATAGTAAGCTAGTAACAGGCATACTGAAATTACATTCACGTTGCGGAACAAGTTTAGGAGCATCCAGTAACTGAAAATAGCAGTTCTCTGAAACAAGTGACGTGGGATTGAGATGCCATCGCCAATGTAGATGAAGGGCATGTTTGGTTCATTTAGTCACTCCTCTAAAGTTTAGTCAGTCCTCTAAAATTTAGTTACCTTCTATTTGGATCCATGTGCTAAAAGTAGGCTAAAAGTGAAAAGGAGAGGAGAGATAAAGAGAGTAAAGTCATCTAAAACCACTTTTAGTCACTTTTAGCTATACCCTGATGACTAAAGCCACTAAACTTTAGTGACCCCTTTTAGTCAGGGTGTTTGGCATTTTAGTGACCGAAAGTGACTACAGTGGGGGTAAACCAAACAGGCCCGAAGAGTACTTGCACAATTCTTGGATGCATGGCTCGAATCCTGTTATGACTGGTATTGTGTACAGGAGAAGGGAAGAAACAGGAAGTCCATGACAGCGGCACAAGACGTGGGCGCGCCCACTATCCTACCCATGATAGGAGCGCACAGCATAGGGAGTTCAGTTGTGTGCGTGCGTTTGTATCCAACATGTATTAGAGTCCAGGGATTAGGCAGTTAGGGGTAAGCAGGGCAACATAGTTGTTGTACCTTGCATTTAGCATCCTCTGTTTTAGCATCTCCAGCTTCCCTCCCGACGAAGCCCACACGACGATCGTCGTGAAAGCACCGGTCGGCCACCACCACTCACTCATATAGTCTTAGATCTCTGGGCTCTACCACCATGTCACAGTATGACAGGTGGGGTCCATCTATCAGTGACTAGGCGCAGGGCTGTAGGTGATCCGGCAAGACGGTTGAAGCGGGTGCTGTTGCCAACCTGGCAACAGTCGCAACGGAGAGCTATAAAGGGGCGACGGCAAGGGAAGATGAAGGCAACGAATGTAACAGATTAGTTGTCATTTAGTAGTAGAAGTAGAATCTTATTGCGGAATCGCCGCTCCTATAATCAAACATTGTTACATTCACAATAAAACTCACCCGGATTCGCCCCCAAATCCTTCCACCCATATCGTGGTCATCATAATTGGTATGGAGAGTCTGTCGACTCGGCGGGGGAATTTTTTCTCTCAAATCGATTTGTTCCGCTCTGGCTCCGAAGCGCAAACCCACCAAATTCCAACTCGAGATGACGACATCGATCGACGACCTCAATACGACCATGGAGGCCATGGCGAAGAAGCTCATCGGCGTCCAGGACATGGCGACGCAGTTCACCGACTTCCAGAAGATGACGACGACTACGCTCGACAAACTCAATGACTTGGAGTCATGGCGGACGATCGTGGAGACATCGATTGGGACCATTATGCAGCAGTCCAAGGACACATCGACTCGGGTGTTGCAGTTGGAGGCGCGTCCACCTCCGCCGCCTCCTCCGCCTTCGGCGCCGCCTCTGCATCCCACGACGGTTTCGATGTCGCGTCTGCCTCCACCTCCGCCATCGCCGTTGACGATGCCCCCGGTGCCAAACCCGTTGATGGCTCCTCATCCTCAGCATCCTCAAGGATGGATCGACTTGAACACGGAACCAACCTCGGCCTCAGCCTCGGCCTCTCAATCGCCC